TGGGGGATCTACCCATGATACCCCCAGCTGATTTTGCCAGGAGGCGCCCTTCAGGTCTGCAGGGACTGATGCCGAGGCCCCCCGCCAGCAGCCTTCTGGAGGAGCGGGTCTTGGACCGGGATGAATTCCGAGCTGGTTCAAAGGGCTGCCATAACGAAGGGGCTCCGTGGGAGTGAGAAAAGAAGCATTTCAAAGCTTCTAAGCCCGGGCACTTCCAACCATCTTCCCACTGCCTTGGGAGGCAAAGCGCAAAGAAATTAGTGCATGCCAGCCTTTCCCCTAAACTCTGCAGCCGCTCAGCCGTTCCGCCGCCTCCTCCCTCCCTCCCCGCCTCCCGCCGTGCAACAGCAGTTCTGCCCAGAAGCCTGCTGCAAGAGCTTCAGTTTTTTAAGTAAATCATTTAAATTGCTAAATCAAATTAGTTATCCCACTCCAGGCCTGATCTTGCAAGTAGAATGGCAAAGGGTGGAAACTTCTAGAAAGAATAATAAGGCACCGGTTTGGTAGTTGGGGCAACTGAGGTATGCCCCCCCCCAAAAAAAGCCGCTGGCAAAAAGGCTAAATCGCAGGTGGCAGTTTGTTCATCAGCCAAAAAGTATAACAGGCCCTTCTTTACTTCAGTAAAAACTACCGGATTTTCTACCAAAAGGCAGAAGGGTCAGCTGCGCATGAAATCTCTGCAAAGGCTCCGCTGTGACGGCAGCCTCCGGGCCCCCCTCGCTTGGACCCCCACGAACACCGCTTTCCCTTCAGGAACTAAATCACTATCTCATGGGGGGGGGGCTTTAGCTGGGATGCAGGCAAACAGAGATGAGATTGGCAGATTCCCAGCAAGGAAGTCGGCTGAAGGATTGTGGCACGTTAAAGGAATGCAGAGTGTTGCCGAAAGGAAATGTATTTGCTCCCCAGTTTTTCTGGGTTCCTCTGTTTGCGAGCTGAGGCACTCCCCTTGGCCCGAAGTCTTCACCACCCAGGGAGACAGCCAGTTTGGGCGCCTCTTTGGGGGTTCCTCAGTGATGCTTCAGAAAGGCTTGGAGGAGAGGTGCCATCTTAACCTCTCCCCAGCACCCCCCCCTTTCCTCGGCCACGGTAGCTTTTCTGCCAACCTCATCTTCCAAGACGCTGCAGGACATTCTGCGCGGCCCTTCCGAGCACCAGGCAGACTGGCATCAGACGCAACCGGGGGGAAGGGGACGATGAGCAACTGCATTTCCGTGGCAGGGAGGAGCGTGGCAGCCAGGCATCCTCAGCTCACCCCTACCCTAGGGCCCAGGCAGGCGTTTTCTGGCGATTGGGGCTTTGGGGTGCTTAACCCCTCGGATTTCTCCGTGACTCAGACCAGCTGAGAAGGAGAGACACGTGAGCGAGGAATGAGATCTGGAAACCCGTTTCTCCAAACAGAGCCATTTCTTAGAAACGCCAGAAGCTGCTGAGAGAAATGCAGGAGCTGTGGGCTTGGCCTTCCTTCAGAAAATGGCTCAGCGACAGCAGCCCTGGCCCAAATCCAGGATGGAATGACGGTGGGAATCCTGGCTTAGAGGAGCGTGAAGGGGAGAGCCTCCCCCTGCCCTTCCCACGTGACTTTCCTCCTCCATTCTGGCTTGGGTGGCCCTTCGCAGATTTCCCAAGGGAGAGCAAAGAGGGGGGCAAGGAAGGAAGCTAGGTTGAGGGCCCGTGTGTGTGTGTGTGTGTGTGTGTGTGTGTGTGTGTGTGTGTGTGTGTGTGTGTGTGTGTGTGTGTGTGTGTGTGTGTGTGTGTGTGTGTGTGTGTGTGTGTGTGTGTGTGTGTGTGTGTGTGTGTGTGTGTGTGTGTGTGTGTGTGTGTGTGTGTGTGTGTGTGTGTGTGTGTGTGTGTGTGTGTGTGTGTGTGTGTGTGTGTGTGTGTGTGTGTGTGTGTGTGTGTGTGTGTGTGTGTGTGTGTGTGTGTGTGTGTGTGTGTGTGTGGGCGGGGGTTAGTTGCAGAAAGCTAAGTGTGACGCTGCTTCAGAACGTAGGTGTGCGTAGGAAAAAAAACAACCTGCCTAGTTGTTGGGAAGTTGTGCAAAGGGCAGTATTGCCGACTAGGTTGCCCGCCCCCCCTCGTTTTTAAGTTAATTTCTACCATTTTAACTAAAAGGCCGTGGAAAGAGGGGGAGCCCTCCCCTCCGCTTCCATCGAGGACCGGTTTTCTCTGCAGGCTGCCTTTCCTTCTCCGCCCTGGCCGAGGAGGGGCAGCGCTGCCAAGCCTTTCTCTAACCGCCGGCAGGGGGCGCTATGCAATTACTCTGTTGGAAGTGGAACGTAATTACAGTTAAACTGCAACACTTTGGTTGCTAAAAATTGCAACCCTCGGAGAGTGGTTTGCCAAATACATTTAAAAGAGATTAAAAGGGTGGAAAAAGGCTTTTATGATCTTATTTATGAGAAAGGGGTGGGGAAAATATACCTAAACAACAAAGAGCTTTCCACCTGGGGAGGTGAAAATGCTCCCCTCCTCGTGTGACCATTTTAAAAAGCGAACATTACCATTTAAAATAATAGCCTCTAGAAAGTTGACTAATTTCTCATTAGGTCTGGTGGGGAGGGGCTGGAGGAGCAGCTAAACAAATTCTGGCTCAACGAGGCATGATGCGAAAGCCAGTCCAGAGTCGGGCCCTTTCTCGCTCTGTCTGAGCCTGGCAGGATGAGCTTGGCTTTGTGGTCAGGCTGCAGCAGCACCAAGTTGGGGAGGCTGAGAAGAGCCCCGCCCCGCTCCTGCCCTGCTTGCAGCGGCCCGGAGGTGCTTGCTCAGGGTCTGTCATCTCAGAAGACCCCTTTCACCTGGGCGCATCTGATGCAGGGAGGTTGGAGCCTCTTTTCTGGGGGGTGGGGGAGAGGGAAGCAGCAGGTCGGGTGACCCGTGGAGAATGAGGACAGAGAGTAGCTCTGGCTTTCTTCAAAAGAGGCTGACGTGGGAGCACCCAGGGAGGCTCCCAAGGCAGCTGAAGGAAGAGGGGCCGCTTTGCACCGAGCAGAGACTCACCTGCTCGTGGGCTGGCCGAGGCCTTGGGAGAGCCCAACCTTTAGCGCTTACGACTGTGCAGGCTGCCGAGACCTTGAGAAGGTCACTGCTTGAAGGGAATGGAAGAGGCCCTTCGCGTGTGCAAGGAGATCCAATCAAGCGAAGAAGAACAACGCAGTCTTGTAACCAAAATCTTCCATCAGATCAACCCTTCCAGCTTAGAGTAATGACTGGGAACGGTGTTCAGGGCCTGAACATGCTGGGACGAGCCCAAACCCCCTGTCTTCTGCGGGGAAGGCTGAATGGAGCTTGACCATGCGCACCCAGAAGGAGAGGTGCGCAAGAGGAGGCCTTGGCGTCCTGTTTGTCCGCATTCGACCGTTTCTGGAAAAATCTGCTTGCTTTTTTTTTTTTAAGTGCAGGCAGGAAATGTGTTCCTGAGAGCAACCTTTGTAACCAACCAATGGTATAAGGATTTTCTTTTTGGATTTGATTGCACCATATTTGTGCACGTACCTACTTAACATTTATTGGGTTTTTCTTTTTTCTTTTTTTAAAAAAACAAACCTCTTTTGCCATCTTCTTAATGGTCTCTCCTGCACGTTTGCAGAACTTGTGTGGCAGATACGGATTCCT